AACATTGCAAAAACAAGTTTTCAAAAAAAAGGAAACAAACTTATGAATGATAAAATAAAAGATATTATTTTATAAGGATTCATGTTAATAGCAAAAAAGGTTTTCATAGTATTATTAGTGAATTCGTTGAGAGAACTACAGTGTGAGACGCCTTGCAAACAGAGTCTCCTAGAGGGAGAGTGTGAGTTTGTGTATAGATCTATACGAGACTAACAATTCCGCACTCTGACTATTAGCTACAGTCAACCGGGGGTGCCAAACGTTTATTCAATTTTCGACGTCCGAAGTATGTCGTTTGGTATTCGTCCATTAGTATGGTTATAAGAATCCACAGGTGAAACAACGACTCGTTCACGTAATAATATACCTAACAAACAGTCAACATGGTTAGTAACTATGTGATGACTTAGTATGTACATCAGGTTAATATGAAATTAACATTCGACTTGCAGTGGGATGTGTGATCTCCGTTTCATTTCCTATTCCTTGTTTGGTTGTGGGCTTAGGGTAGAATCACCCAATCAACTGTTTGTTTGATATAGAATTCTATAACTCGTATATACTAAGTGATCACAGGAGGGTATTAACAACACTTTCGGGATACAAAACAACACGTTATCAACTAGTTTTATTTATGTAATAAGACTATTATGCATTACTAGTGGTAACCAGGGTTTTTCAAATACAACAATGCTTAAACAACCTAAGTATGGTGGATACTTGTACACCACGATTTGGAACATATAATTTAATAACGTACAATTAAGGAAAATATAGGATTTTCCTAGGTAAACATCGATATTTTACAAATAGTTGGTTATTATTCAACTAACGAACATTCATTATTATTTCCATGACTCCTTAGTTTATGCATCCAGGTTACGAATGAAGAATACCTGATAGACTGTGGAATGTGTGATTTCCGCCTTATTCCCTGTTCCTTGTTTGGTTTTGGGTTTAGGGCAGATCCACACAATTAACTGTCTATCCAATATTGGTTTATACATAACTAGTATGAACTAAGAAGTCATAGAAGGAATGGGTTAATCATGCTTTTCATAAGAAAATATTGGACTTTCTTCAGGACCAATATCAACAGATATCAAAGGACCAATACAGTTAACTTTGTAAGTATCTAGTGAATACTTCAGGATTACGTACATGAGGATCCGACCAGTGGGATGTGTGGTCTCCGCCTCATTTCATGTTCCTTTTTTGGTTGTGAACTTGGTGCAGAACCACACAATCGATTGTTTGTTCGATATGTATTGAATATGATTTGTATACACTAAGTATTCACAGGAAGAACTAACAAGAATCATTTTTTACTTAACATTTACTATATCAGAAAATGTAAGGTTTTTTAGGAGGAACATAAAATACTTTTTGAAAGAACAAAGAACAATTTTCTAAAACAAAACGCTTATGAACTCACCAGCTTTATGTTGATACTCTTTCAAAACCTACTTGTATTCTCAGGACACTAGTAGACAGATACACACACCGAGTTCAAGAAGATGGAGCATAGTAGCTTCGAGTCTTTACTTGTTATTTACTTTTGGTGTCAATCATGTATGAGTCAAATGCAATGTAAGCACATTACTATTAATACAATGGGTGTTGTTGCTTTGATTACTATTATTCAATTATTGTGATACTACACATGACGCCCTCCACCCCCGAACGTTTCCGCCGTTCTGATTTGGGGGTGTGATAATGTAACAACTATGTAATCCTTATTAGGTGAAATCGGTACATGCCCTTCATAGAGGATTTGATGAAATTATTTTTCTTAGCAGGTAAGGTTACTATTATAACACATAAAAAGTTTATGTGTAGTTTACATAACTGATCATGCTTTTGTTCTTTCTTTAGGACCAACTAATTTCTACCTCATTCATGTTAGTCGTGTACCAGTTAGGTGTTGTTGGGGAACAGGTAATGAATTCTGAATGGCTTACTATTTATGTTTGAAGAAATGGGAAAATCTTATACTTTATGATCATTTGCATTATTCAATACCCTTTATAATGTTATCCGATTGGTTTTCCCCATAAAACTAAGCCTGCAAAATAGAATGTTCAGGCATTGAGGCGTTGAGGGGGGGGGGGGGGGTGGTAAAGTGGGCAGCTGCACAGGGCCCAATTTTTTTTCATTATATATTTTTATTTAAAAATAAAATTATAATAAAGATAAGGGCTTTTATTTTCTTGTTCGTCGTGGGCCTTTTGAGAATATTTAATTTTTTCAGGATCGGCCCTATGTTCAGGAACTGTGAGCTCTAGGTCTTACCCATACTTTTTAGCATTATGTTCTGCTCTGCTCAGATATGATGTTTTTCTCTTGTAGGTAAGAGAAGTAGTCATAGTAAAGTAATAAATAGCTGCCATGATTTACCTTGTAACCATTGTTGGATCAGTATGCGACTTTCTCTCCTCTTTCAATCTCCATTTGTTAAGGATGCATTCACACTTCATATATTCCATTTTGCGACACAACAAGAACACTGATAAATAGAAGTAGATTGCTATATACTACATTTAGTTTAAAAAAGAGTTAAACGAAAAAAAGTATAATTGTACTTTTATTGTATTGTGCTTACTTAGGATGGTCGGTTCATTATTTTATAGATTGTTTTATATGCATGTCCGGGAAATAACATCAGGAATTTAATGGTGGTGCTAACCTATTTTAACCATTGGTATAGCTGGATGCTACCATTAGATTCTATAGACTGAAGGTTGTCATCATGCATCGTTCTCGAACTGCTGAAGAGGTAGAAAATATTAAAAAGGTGTTTTTTCTTGTAATTCCAAATGGATATGTCAAGGGTCTCTCAAGTATCTGTGATTTTCTAGGAAAGGATTCCCTTGCTTTGTACCTACCGATTCCGATTACTTGATAGATAATGTTGATTGCTTGATCAACCTATGAAATCTGGTCAAGTTTTATACCACATGTGTGGGTTAAATTATCCATTCTTCTCATACATATTAACAATTTTAATACGGTAAATGCATGAAACAACATTATATTTTCATTTATAGTGGATTATAGGATCTTACTTTCTTTCCTTTTCATTATATCATTGTTATTGGAAGAAATGAAGCTATATGGTTATATTAAAACATAAAGTATGTTGCTATTTTTTGCTATTTCTATAATTCTTTGATTATTAGTTGTTTGCATTGAATTTAGACTTTCAACTAAAAACCTAGGTTTGAGACAATGTCTTGGTTGTTGTATAAGTAAAAAAGAATTTTTGAATTTTAAATTGCTCATGCTCCAGTTGCCCCTGCTAATTATTGGTATTATGGTTCCAGTCATCTTCCACTTTTATTTTTGTCATGAATTTCATGGTATAGAAGACTAAATTTGACTGTAAAAGGTCATATTACAAAATTAATTATAACAAATTCTTATAAGTCAACTTCGTCGGACTATGAATGTCAAAGAAAACTTTTTTAGTTTAAAGAATAGAAATGATGTTTGATTAAACAAACGAAGGTTGATAATCCATGCCATTAATTTTCTTGTAAGAAATTAATCTATACAAATAATGTTTAAATGATTTTTTCAATTGACAAAATAAACGAAAAGCTTAATTTATTTTGTTTTTAGTATTTTTTATGCCTATTTGACATGACAATAGTCCCCTAGACAAGACTTTTAAATTACACCATTCATTTTATAAGATTTCATTTTATACTAATATTTATATAAAATATCAAATTAACTAATTATAAACATATTGCTTAAATATGTTGATTGTCTGTGAGTTGCAAAGATACAAATTGGTTTTGTTTTAACATTGGAAAGTATTTTGTTTATTGAATTGTTGGAAAACTATGATTTCACTTTAAGATAATTTTATTTTTAACCAATACAATTTGTTTTTTTATTAACCTAAAATATCAAAATACTTGAAAAATGGGAATTGATATATAACTTATTTGAATGTCATGTTTCCAAAAGAAAACTAATATTTGACTTTTAAATTATTTGCCAAAACATCTATTTTGAAATATGATATGTTATCGAAATCAAATTAGTTTATTAAAAAAAATCAACTATTATCTACCCACTAAAAAGAAAGTCAGATTAAAACAAATTATTTGTGTAAAAGAACTACATATCTTTAGAAATTAATTTCTAAAAGAAATTATTCGCACTCATCGTTTGGCGCAGGTAAACGGTTAGTTTATATATATATATATATATATATATATATATATATATATATATATATATATATATATATATAACAAAATTAAAATATCAATATATAATAATTAATAAGGATTGAAAGTAATTTTTTAAAATAGAAAAGAATATAAAATGAAAATATGTTTTAATTAGAAGGGATAAAGATGTTAAAAGTATTTAATCTTTAATAAATGGGAAGGGATTTGTAAAGGGGTTGGCTAAAAAGACACCCCATATTGTAATATAGACACCCTAATTAATTTTTTAAATATTTATAAAGGGATTTGTTGACTTTTTAAAAAGTAATCAATGGGGTGTCTAAGAGATATCTTATTAGCAACACCCTTTGTAAAGTGATTGTTTGATGTGATGTGATAAAAATTGTTATGTAATAATCATCTTTAAGTCCCATCAATTTGGGTTATTTTACCCAAAATCAAAATGGTTTGGTTTTGACCGGAATACCCGTTTTGAACACGATCACTATTGTGCTAGACATTCCTCCCCTATTTTAATCATTGTGTTGGTTGGAGACCCGATATCAATGATTGTTGTAATTATCGGCGTAAAAGACTATATGCTATAGTGGTGTGGGGCCGGAACCTATGTCAAGCGGTTGAGACAATATTCCTCGAGAAAAAGCATGAAACATGCTTAAAGGAACGATTAAGGGCGACCGATGACGAATGATTTCATCTATTTGATTAGAAGCAGTCCTAGACTTTGAACTAAATATTTCGAGATTTTTCAAACACATTTTGTATATCTTACGCCTCATTTAACAAAATGGTCAAATTCTTTTCATGCACATTGTGAAAAGATACAATTAATTAGCCCCATATGATGAAATAAAGCACATTTTCCGCACAACTTTATTCCATTTTTAAATTCAACTAGAAAACATGAAAACAAACTAAAAATAAGAGAGTCTGAAATTGCAAAGCTGTAGATGGCAAATTTCGGGTGATCCAGAAGTGTAAGTCTGTTGAGTGACAAAGCTTAGCCATGGCTGCCATCTGAAAATATATTACGAAAAGAAATAGATTAAAGATTTGACAATGATTGCAGAAAATGAAAACATTAATTTAACACTATCATAGTTATTATCAGCTTTAAATAATATGTAATACATAAGAATGGCATCCACCTTTAAAGAGACTCGGATTATTAGTAGATTCATGGGTAAGGCCGCCAAATTTGACTTCTGGTTAGGACATATTCTCCCGTTGTTGACTGCAATTTTGTAAGATCACGACCAATGATGTTATTCCATGACTTGTAATAACTTAACACATCTTCTTCTTCTTCTTCTTCTTCTTCTTCATGCACCAAACTCACCCCACACTCCTTTATAACATTACTAACTGCATTACCAATATCATCTGGATTCGACTTTAGTGTAATAGTAACATGGTTACCACATTCCATCTCATTCATCCCAAACATCCAATGGCTTAAAAACATCAAACACCCTCCATCAACCTCAACCGCTTCAATGTAATGTTGGTACATCCAGGTGAGGTTTTTTGTTATATTACATATTTTGATCACCGGCAAATTAAGAGTCACATTAAATCTAGATTTCATCACATAACAGAAATTCAGTCCTTTGAGCTTGGTAAAAGATGATGGGATTGTAAATGATATTGATGGCCCTGTGCTTCTATCCATAATCCAATTCGGCATCTCTTCACCTCCACAAATTGTGCTGAATATTCCAAATTCATAATACATCTGACAAATACAACAACCTTCATCAATCACCACATTAATCATATATATATATATATATATATATATATATATATATATATATATATATATATATATATATATATATATATATATATACACACACACACATATTCATGCAAAAACATATAATTAACTAGACCAAACCTGGATTTCAGATTCCTTTCTTCTACCAATGAAAAAAACTGCCATGCGCTGTCCAATAGGAAATTCTAGCTTCTTCCAGCCTAAACTGGATAATATCTTTTCCTCAACAATCTCCATTGGTTGGATTTTGATCATCCCTTCAAATTCAAATGAAGAAGTTCCTAGTGATCCCCGGTTTATTACCATCTTGATTTTAGGATCATATGCAACTTTTCGCAGCCTAGGCTCATCAGATTCTATATAGATTTGCATAAATTTTAGTGTATTTTGAGGATGCTCTACTGACGTCAGCATATTACACGCTACCATACTAAGTCTCTCAAGCCCAGGAAGGGTTCTCACACAATTAGGTAGGGAAACAATGGGATTGTAATCTAAATATAACTCCTTTAGCATGACTAGGCAACTGAAGTCCATGGGAAAGGATTCGTTAGACAAATTATTATCTGCAAGTGACAGCCTTACTAAAGATCTTGGTAAAGGAATCGTAAGGAACTTCAAATCACTTGGTATGGCCTTGAGAACAGCGGAAGAAGGCCTTTTTATGTTTTTGCCATTATTGTCAGCCTTGAGCTTTTCTGTTGAATCGATATCCCTAATCCCAATTTGAGATTCACCAAGATTACATCCCTTTAGCGACAATGAATCAACCTTCTTTAACATGCTTATAATTTTGGGAAGATTTACAAGCTTTTTGCAGTAGCTTAGATCAACAAGGACAAGTTCTTCACATTTTTCAATTGATTCAGAAACATCAAGCAAACCAGTGCAACGCCTAAGTATTAACCTCTCAAGTGAAGGGAGGTGGTCAAAGCCTCGAAGAGTACGGAGTTGTTTACAGAAACTTAAATTAAGAATCTTCAGTGATCGTAGCAGCCTTTTGTCTTTTGAGTATAAGCATAAGCATGGCCCAATCAATTGCTGAAATTGAGATAAGTTAGAAAAGTTGTGAACTTTATTAATTTGGCATAGAAGAGTAATAAACCGAGATAAGTTACCATTAGCCTCTCATGAAGTGGTTGTGGATTACTATAACAAATGTCAAATGATTCGATTTTGCTATATGACATGTCAAGAGAAACTAGATTCTCCATCGGTAGATCTGAAGGTATATACTTCAGCGGGAACTCATGCATACACAACCATCTTAATTCTTTTGGAAAATTCTTGTAAGAGCCTGTTATTTGCACATAACTGAGTTTTAGCAGCATCAGATCATCCATCTTACTCAATGCATCTGTTTTTAGCTCACACGATCCACATAATTTCTCTTTCTCAAGCATTCTCATGTCAAGGGCGAGGCCTAGAACATTTTTCGTACCCTAAGAAGAAAAGGGATGCAAAATTATTTTACAAATGTTATAAACATGTTTAAAGAGAATAAAAAATAACTAGAAGAAGTATACATGGCCTCTTACCTTATTTTGTTTCAACACTCTAAATGACTCCTCATGACACCATAATCTACTTCGTTCCCATGGCTTGTCAGATGATTCCTCACGTACCAGAAATCTTCCCATCTCTTGAACCAACTGATGCATCGTTAATTCGATGGTCATGAATTCGTTATTCCACCAAATATCAAGAAGGCATCTGTCAATAAGATTTGTGATCCCGGATCTTGTGTCCATATCACATGCATTTAATATTGTTTCGGTAACATCTCTATCCTCTCCAACAAAAAAACAACAAATATGCTTAAACAACTCTTTATCATTCTTGAATGGCAAAGAGTCATAGCTCGCTCTCAAGACATTACTTATAAAGGGGCCATTTTCTTTCTTTAGTCTGTCTATGTATCCCTCCCAATAACCTACATCTCGATTATGTAGAGACCTACCCAAAACTTTAAGAGCCAATGGATGTCCTTGACAATACTTTACTAGATTTTTTGACACCTCTTCATAATCTGCCTTGAGATTGTTGCACATAAATGCATGAAAACACAAAAGCTTTTGTGAATCAATCTCAGATAAGCCTTGAATCTTGTATGTTACAGGTTTTGGTCTAATGTTCGTTCTGAATAGCTCACAACTCTCTGTCAACCATGCGTCCTTTGTTGTTATTATGATTTTGGTTCCTGGATGAAAATCTTTGCTTCCAAGTAACGCATTTAATTGGTCGAGACTACCAATATCATCAAGAACAAGAAACGCCTTTCTATGAGCTATTGCATTCACTATCATTGAAGTGTACATAGAAACATCATGAACTTGAACTGAACATGGTTTTGAAATTTCGTAATAGAGTTCGTTCTGTACACCAATAATCCCATTATAGTTTCGATCACATCTTCTACTGATATCTTCAATGAAGGCACTTGTGTCAAATTCATGAGAATGTAACGCATAGACGTATTTTGCTATAGACGTCTTCCCGATTCCACCAATACCCACAATAGAGAGTATATCAGTCGTATGTGATGATGCATCTTTCAGCCATGAAATTATGAATTTAATGGAATCCTCCATCCCAATAAGTTGAGGTAGTGGAAACCTCGAGGATATGCGTAATCTACGGTGGATGTCCTTAACAGTTTCTTCAATTAACGCAGCCTCTGGCCTACCATTTAATTTAGTAAGAAACTAAGAACCATTAAACACAATCCAAAAAACTAACATGCCATGCCGGAGTATCATATTAAACTATTTTTTATTAAGTTAATTACATAACTATCATTATGTATGAACTTCTAACCATATAAGTATTTAATGTGCAGGGTCATACTTTCATCTATACAGGACCAAGCACCAATGTTATAGAAGTTTTCATTGATGGGCCAACAAGTTTCACTGTGTTTTTACAAAACCATCAAACTTAAATATCATCGTGGCTTTGAATGAATCTAAAGTCTAAACAAATTTTGAGTGAATAGGTATAAGTTAACGCTTGCTACTAACAAGTAAGAGCATTTATTTATCTTAATAACATATAATATGACTTAGAGTTAGAATGATATAAAAAATTGAAAATTACAACCATTTAAAAGTTGGTTTATTAATGAAAAGCATATAAAAATGAATAACAAATGTGTTAAAACTAGAAGAATGGTTAACCTACCTATATTAATTAACTTATGGAATCACATAATTGCAAAAACTATGTTCAACTTCAAGGATTTGTTTAACATTTATCCAAATTTAAATACATCAAAAGTACCCAGATTTGATGACAATGAAGAAACATATTGAAATTCATATGCAATAGATGATATTAACTTTTCATGTGCTAATTATGGGTACGAAAGTGGTTACCTTCCATTTGCATCTTTCCCTTTTAAATCAGCAATTTTTGTAAGCGCTTTATTCCACTGGTCCATCTTTTGAGCCAAATTACTTCTTTTATTTGCATCAGTCTCTGCCTCCATCCTCTGTCTATGTTTAGCCATTGCATCTCCAAAGCTACTTTGTTGCTTTCTAACATTGGTGGGCTCAACATGATAAAAGATGGGGATTACAAGATGATTGTATTTCATATGTTGTTCAAGGATCAACACCAGTTCATCAAGACACCAGGTGGAAGTAGCATAATTTGTGGACAACACGATAACAGAAGCCCGGGATGCTTTAATCGCACTCTCCAACTCCGGTTTCAGATCTTCCCCTGTTTCAATCTCTTCATCATCCAAGAAGGTATTGATATTGGCATGCATGAGGGCATTATAAAGGTGATTAGTGAAACTATGACGAGTGTCAAGTCCCCTAAAACTTAAAAATACGTCATATCCATGACGATGAGTTGATGAAGAAGATGAAGCTTCTTCAGAAATTTCATGGAGCATAACCATTATTAGTTATGTGTTTCGAAGCTTTTGAATCCCACGCTTTCCTCGCTTGTTCCTCAATTACAGGATCCCATACATAATGTCTCTACAGAAAAATTCAAATTATTAATAACCATGCTACTTAAATCTAATCAAACAATTTAAACCTCAACAATGATACCTTATATTCTACATATTGAAAATTTGAATTGTTTAAATAACAATACATTTCAGAAATAACCGACATATATACAGCTACATATTGATATAGAATCACCATATCATTGAGAAGGGAATTATCTAATAATTGATTACTCACTTAATTAGATCGGTTAACCTGTTTTTCTGCTCAAGTTTAGCGCAAGAAAATATCAAACTAATCTATTCAATTAACCTACAAAACCTTTATTTGATCTGATTAAACCAGCATAAACATCCGTAATATTTTCTAAACAAGTTCCATCTAAAGTTCAGTCATGTAATCCTCAAACAAATCAACTACAAGATCCACTATAACATCCTATGAAAGGTATTATAAAATGTATAGGCAATTTCCAAACATTCACTAGATGTAAACAAACAGTTAAAAGACCTATGGGAAATAAAGAATCTTTCCAAATAAGAATTTATCCATCACAAGATCTAGTATCAGAATAATATGGGCTTGTTCCAAATGATATGTTTTTAAAACTAACAAGTCACGCTGTTTCTAAGCATTTGATTACATAATCTATACTAGATGAAACTTCGGAAGTAACTGCACTTTACACAGAAGCATATAGACATCATCATCAGTTTGAGTTGCATGTAGATATTATCATCAATATGAAGTTCTGTCTTCTTTTTTAAAACAATATGACAGCATTGTTTTGTAATACTCGTCAGCCCATAGAACACAACTTCAAGTTAACAAAGTCCTTCTGTGAGTACAACCACCACATGAAACGATTGCCAAAGAAATGAAGCTAAACACACAAATGAGAAAGTGGCCAAAAGTAATCACATCTGAATGTACATATTATCCATTATTCAGCTAGGACGAGTTTTCCCTTCAGGATGCAACTATGATCATGTTAATGATAGCTCAATTATGTGACAAAGTTGACTTAAGTGACAAGTGAGTGAGTGACATAGGTGTTGCTGACCAACATCACAGGTGTTAAATGTACAAAAATATCCCTTATCAAAATTGCATTTGCAGCTCATGGAAAAACTAATTTACTTGATTTATATATGATCGCAGCACTAGCAAAATCCTAATCTAGACTCAAAGAATGTAACACCCGAAAGTACTTCAGAAAAACCAAGATGTCTTACGATTTGGCTTCAACAGGTCAAAAAGCTTTGTAAAGGGGTACATCATGCAATTTAGCATTATTACAATGGAATATATATTAAAGCTTTTTCATCATGAGTGTTAATCATAACGTTCAGGTTCAAAAAAAGTAATTGAGATAATCGAAGTGTCAGTCACATGTTAATGAACAAACAAATGAGTATGATGTGATTTACGATTGATAAGATAAAATTGTTGTGAAACTAACTTGTAAAAATGTGTCTTCACAGTTACCTGCCTACAGAGCTACAGTGACAACTGAAGAGTGAACACTACAGAGCGAACGGCGTGAAGTCGATCAGTAAACGGTGAGTCAATGTGGAAGGAAGGAAGAGGCGAGAAAGGAGAGAAAGTATGTTGGGTTGGAGTGGGAGGCTTCAAGGTATTCCTTCTTTTATAGACACAATGTTCTTGCGAGGTCTAAGTTCGGTTTAGGATTTGGATTTATTAGTGGCTGAATGTGTTTATCCGTTCTAAAAAGAAAATAATTAATAATAATTTATGGTAAATATGAAAATATAAAAATGCTTAGTTGCTTACTCTTGTTGGTCATTTCTTTTTGGATTCGATCATTTTTTTTATACAAAAGCATTATTATGGAACTATTTTATAATTGTTTAAGCTCAAATCCAAAAATTTTATATTATATTATACTTTATTATAATCATATCTTGAATGTTAGAAGTTATAAATTACAAAAAAAACTGTGTGTACAAATCAATTATGCATAAATAATTCATTAAAAATTAGAATTAAGAAAGATTATTAAAAAAATTCAATTTGGAGCAAAATAAAAAATTTTAAATATTAAATTAATGTATATAAATTAATTTATATTTTTAAACTAGACATTAGTAGTAATTAATTTATATTCATAGTATAAACATGCAATATAAATAGAAGATTAAATACATGTTTTTTTAAAAAATGATAATTTTATTATTGCATAAAACTAATAATTATATCTCCATAAGAAACTATTCGCCAAAAATGTATTTTTCATTGCTGTTATACGCTGGCACATATCTAGTTGTATTAAAGTATAAAATTTGACATGTTATACATAATTTGTTTATCTTTTATAAAAGGTATAAAAAAAATTCATGTAAAATACATAAAATATATTTTTATATATAATATAGTTTATTTATCTTTTATAAAAGGTAAAAAAAAAAATTCATGTAAATAGTGTTTATTTATCTTTTATTAAAACTATAAAAAATTACTCATAAGGTATTAACAGTTATGTTTTTCAGTACATTAGTTAAATTTTACAATATTATAAAAATTGTTGAACATGTGAAAAGTTATTTGTCAACCCTACACAAACGTAATAATTTAACTTTTTTAATTATTGATAATTTTATTCTTTCAAGTTTTATGCGATTTTGAAGTTATAAAAGACATATTTTGACTTTAGATTTGAGTATTTCGTAATGGTCGGGACGAAACCGATAATAAAGTTAAAGGATAATCACTTACGAGAGTAATCAACTTGTAGTTCCGTTGATTATTATCCTAATAAAGTTCTTAAAATAACAATTTTGTTAATATGATTTTTCGAATAGTATCGTTTTAGTCATGGTTTATCAATAGACAAAAAAATTCTAGTATTAATGGTTATTGACATAAAAGTGTATTTATGAGCACAAAATGATTTTTTTGGAAAAGAAAATTCCCCTCAAATTTTAAAAATAACAATTTTTATTGGTTGTATGCTTTACAATAATTATTAATAAAAGTTAAAGACAGTCGTTATCAAATGTTGGTTTATTTCTCAAAGATATTGCTTTTACACATGATCAAGCATTCAAGTGTATGCTGTTTTATTTAGAGTTCGAAGCAAATGATGATTAAATTTGTTAATTTTAGATATGCATCATAGATTTATAAACAAAACTTTCAATGTTGTATAAAGAAGTTTTTTTTTTGAAATTTATAATCAAGTTATAGATTTTATTTTTTTTGTGGCATTTTTTAATTAATTTTAGTAAATCATATTTGATTCATCATTTTCAGGTATAAGATGTGTTTCTGAGTCTACAAGATTCAATAAAAGCAATAACAATTTTTTTTTTTTCATGTATAAAATTTACATTAGATTTGGATAAGCTTGAAGAATAAGAAGATTTGTTGGAGTACCGTGATTTTTCAAGAGAAATGTAAGTTCACTAACCTGCTGATTAAATGGATATTAATTTCTCACTGGTTTAATGGTTACCCCTTTTTAGAGCGGATGTCAATGCTACTTTGAAGGGTTAAGCCAATGATGGTTTTTTTTTTGTTGATGATGGTTCGCTCTCTATACAGATCTACCAATTTGTGCTTCTTTGAGGTTTTCAATTTTTTTTAGGTGCTTTACTTTATAACAACATGAAATATTCAAACAGATAAATCAGAGCATGTGAGATCTTTTTATGATTTCTTGTACTTTCTAAGTGTTTCATCTGTATTTCAGGTTATGATATTTATTCTTTGAACCGATTCTTTTATAACGTTATATGTTAGTGCTCTTGCTCCACTACACATGGAGAAATAGGTTAGTATATTATCTTTATTCATATGTAACTATGTGTCACTTGGTTTAATTTGAGTCCCTTCCTTAAATGAAAAGAATGTTATGCTAAACTATACACACATATCAATGAACTACAAGAAAGATTGGATTCTCTCACAGGATATGAACATTTACAATCGGACATAAAAGAAGATGAAGCAATCCATATTATTGCATGCAATTAATGTTAAATATGTGTATTTTTAAAGTGAAAGTAGTAGCTGTAAAAAGTCAAATGTTGATTGGGTATGAGTGTATAATTTAGTTAGATCAAACTTGGGTGGATTTTGGATATTTAGGTGGATTTTGGATATTTGGCATCAATATGCCACAAGTTATACTAGCATTATTAATTTACTACATATTGTTTTAAAATGTAATTTGTTGTGGATAAATTTCTTAATGAGCTGCAATATTTAGATGGAATTTGGTTTTGATGTTTAGTTTAGTTAGGAAAGCCATGTAAGTTTGTTTTTAATGAAAAAATATACTTGAATTTTTATATATAAAAAAAAAGCCATTCTTGACTTTTTATTTTTTTAGCAAGTTTTCAAGGGAATAATAGGTAACCAACATACCACTTTGTTGTTTTTATACTGATCCAGTTTTTACCAAACTACCATCGGCCAAATAATAAATATAAAAAATAGTCTTTAACCTTGTGAACTAATTTATAATATTAAGAAAACGGTCCACTTGTACAGTTCTATCAGTTTATAGCTATTTCATACATTCATGATTCACCCCATGGTGTGATTTTTGAGTTTGAGTCAATCAACTTCGAACCCATTCTTTGGTGTTATTGAAAAGTTTGATTTTTTTTTTTTTTTTTTGCAAATTGAAAATAAGCAACATTAATTCCATCTAAAAATCTAAATATACTTATACTTAAGTTTATTGTTGTTGTTAGGTTTGGTTCAAAATGTTAATCTTTTCTAGATCTACTTATTTGACACACTTAGTTCACTCTTTTGATGTTAGTTCAACTTCATTAATATTAAGTCAATTTTAGAATTGATGTGGTCATTAGTATTATTTTACCCAAAAAAAAGACTAATGGTTTATTCTGAAACATTACAATTTTAAATACTGCTATTTTCATTGATACCGAAAAGTCTTATAATCACATTA